CCGGGAATGGCGAATGCCCCGGCAATGGGTGGAATCCACACATGATGACACATAAGAGTTCTCTCTACGGTTTACCCTTTTCCCTCCCTCCCTCCCTCCCTCCCTCCCTCCCTCCCTCCCTCCATCCCTCCCTCCCTCCCTCCCTCCCTCTCTCTCTCTCTCTCTCTCTCTCTCTCTCTCTCTCTCTCTCTCTCTCTCTCTCTCTCTCTCTCTCTCTCTCTCTCTCTCTCTCTCTCTCTCTCTCTCTCTCTCTCTCTCTCTCTCTCTTGTGCACCGCCTTCCACTCCACTGCCCTCCCCAGTTTGAGCGACACATCAACCCGGCGTCGGCCGGGTCGCCGCACGCCACGCCCAGGGTTACGCCCGAACCCTCGGCTGGGGCCACGCCATCTTTGAGCACTTGAGCACTGGATAGGGTCGATTCCGCATGGTACGGGACCCCTCGATCGTCTCGCCCTCCCTCGCTGGTCCTGGCGTATTCATGGGGGGGGGGGGGGGGCATAACAAACACGGTACAGGATCGAGGTGCACGCTGCTGAGGGACCCCGGAGGGTAGATCGAGCAGTGTCGTCCCCCCTCTCCATCATCTAACCGTGCCATCTCACTTGGACACACACGCTCCACCAAGCAACCCGCCGCTCACTCGATACGGTTGCGTCTACCTCGACGTCGCTGTCGCCCTCCCCGTCCCCGCCGTCGCCCGTGCCTCGGTTCGCGTCATCGGTAGCGTCTCCGTTGTTCCCTCGTGCCCCGCCGTCGCCCTCTCTGCTCGGGCCGTTCGCGATTTCGCTCCTCCTGCATGTCGCCCCTCCGTCTCCTCCCCTGCCTTCGTCGTCATCGTCGCTGTCGCGAAAGCCCTCCGGCCCCTTGATTCCCTCGTCTATCCCCTCCGCTGCGTCGCTCCAGTTTATATCCTCATCCTCTGTGCGCGTTGTCGTTCCCTCCCCTTCTCCATCGTTGTCGCCTCCGTCGACTGTGGCGCTGCCTCTTCCCTCGCCTCCGTCCTCCTCGTCTCGCCTGCCATCGTCCCGTGTCTCCTCGTCCTCGCCATCGCCTTGGCCGTTGTCTGCCTGTTCATCGTGTCCCTTGCTGCTGGTGGCATTGTCGTTGGCTTCCTCTCTCCCCCTTTCCTCCCTTCCCCTCTCGCTGTCTGGTGTTAATGGACCCCCTTCCTCTCCCTCGCCATCGTCACCGTCACTATCCTCGTCGCTATACCGCCCTCCATCCCCGCCGCCCTTTGTTTCACACTCGTCTCTGCCATGTCCGCCGCCGCCGCCGTCCTGTCTGCTGCGCTCTGTGCTCCGTGATACAGTCGCTTATTGTTGCCCAGGATTAGCTCACATGACCACTGAGGAGGTCCTCGTCTTTCGGCAGTTCCAGCACGTCAAGGGCGACGCCGCGGCGACGATGCCAGCCTTTCACACAGCCTTCAGGGACCCGGCCTCCCCGGAGGCGGCGGAGCCGCGCATCTCCTTTGAGTACCGAGTCGGTGTGCTCACACGCTGAAGGCGAGATTCGGCTGAAGTGCATGTAGCTATGGCGCGCAGGCGCGCAGAGGCACGGGGATCGACGGGGACCGACGGCGCCGCTAGGTCGGACAGCGAAGGTGAGACGCGGAGCTCAATGAAGCGTCGCAGTCATGTCGACTAGTCCTCCGGTACGTTTGAGTGTTTTGTACGTTTGTCTACTAGGTTGTTGCTCTCAGAGAGAGAGAGAGAAGAGTCACGTTTCTTTTTGAGGGTGTTCTCAAGATTCGTTTATGTAATTCAAATTCTGTACGAAAGGCGCTCTCTTTCTTCGAGAGGGAGTTTAGTTGTAAAATTCTAGTAAAATTCTTTAGTGCCAGTGCGCTCCCGTGCCAAACAACTCCAACACTCACACATCATTTGGTTGGGGCCTGGAGCCCCGGCACTTAGAGCTTCGTGGACAACAGATCTTCAAGGGAGTTTAAAGTACGTTGGGGGGATTCGCTGTTGAAAACGTTCGGAAATTCTTTTGCGCCAGTCCCGTGTCCATGGAGTGCAGTCGGCAGCCTCACACCCAGGGCCGGGGAGCTAACGAAGCGCAAGTCCCGTTTTTTTTGTCCCGCAGAAGGGATTCGAGGCGGGCGAAAGCAGTCATGTGCAATAGATCTACAGCCCGTGATGTCTGGTGCCTCCACGGGTCTCCTCGTTTTGGTGGGCCTCCTCGGGCTCAATGATGGCCTTGGCACATCACCTCCATCTTCCGCCGACGGCTCAGACGTCGTCCAGCATGTCGGCCTCGGCGAGAGCAGCAGCGGCAGCAGCCTCCTGAGGAGCCGCCGTTTGGTTGTCACCGGCGAGACCAACGTGGCGACGACCACGAGTGGCGCGCGAGCTTCAAACCGGGTGGCGCAGATGGCGGCTGCTCGGGGCGGAAACGTCACTATGACAATCCGAGCAGCCCACAACACCTTCACAGTGGTCGAAGTCGCGGACCCCAACGAGGCGCGAGAGTTCAAGGAGCAGGCGGAGCGCTCGGGGCTAAGGGTCGAGGAGGATCAGCGGCGCTACCCAGGACCGAGCTCGGCCACGCGGACGCAGCCGCTAGCCGAGGAAACGCCATGGGGGATCGAGCGTGTGTACAACGGAGCGGTGCCGAACGCCTCCTTCTTCCCGTCGGCGGTGACGCATCCGCTCTGCATCATCGACTCTGGCTACCTGCTCGCACACCCTGACCTTCCCGCTGACGCCACCGCGGCGGACTCGCTCCAAGCTGACCCAGCCGGCACGATGTACTTCGGCGGCGACCTCTGCAACCACGGCACGCATGTCCTCATCCTCTCCGCCGCCCCTCTCCGCCGCCATCATTCTCTGCCCGCCGTCTCTCCGCCGCCCCCCGTTTTCCCCACACACACTCCTCCATCATCCCCCCCCCCCCCCCCCATCCCCGCCCTCCGTCCCACCAGGAACGCATGGCGCGGGCACCATCGCGGCCATCCGCGGCAACTGGGAGGGAGTGGCCGGTGTCTTCCCGGGTGCGCCAGGCCTGAAGATAGTCAAGGTGTTTGGGCAGGCCGGACACCTCGACAGCTGTGGCTGGACCTGGGCCTCACAACACAGCAAAGCGGCTCACCGATGTGTCAACAACGAAGCCGAGATCGTCTCGAGTGAGCTGGCCTAATACCACTACCCGTCTTTGACTCATCTAACACAATCCGCCCCCTCCCCCCTTCTTCCGCAGCGTCCCTAGAAGGTGGAGGTCCGTCGAGCACAGAGCGTGAAGCCTTCCAGACATTCTTTGATGACGGCAACCTCATCGTCGAGTCCGCCGGCAACGGCGGAAGTAGCAGCTACTCGGACCCGGCGACCTACCCTTCGATAAAGACCGCCCC